TATATATATATATATATATATATATATTATTATTATTTATTATTTATTTTTATTTATTAGTATATATATATATATATATATATATATATATATATGTACATATATATATAGATGTATTTATATGTATTTACTAAATTTTTATTATTATATNTATATATATATATATATATATATATAAATCTAATGTACTACACTCTGACCATCGTTAACCTTGATTTTACCGTCTCGCTTGATGTTTTATGTACTTTATTTTGGCCCAGTTTCGGATTGTTTTGAGCGATTCTTCTTATCTGCTTATCTACCTGCACTTTCCTAATTCAATCCGCAACATACTCGTCTGCTTAGTAAATCGACATCTCATACCTAACTGGCACTGTCACACTAGAAAACCACCACGCACCTGCTACAACGGGCAAAAGAAAGCAATCTCGTGGATGACCTCCCAGAGCCCCAGGGACAGGATTCCGATAAACCGAGGGATATGATTGATATGTTTACCCTTTTATCGCTGGGCGAGCACACTGGGGAGATGATAGATATCCAGCAGTTCTTCGTACGAGTAAGTGAATGAATGGCTCGTGTGGATGCGTTCAGAACGTTGTTTCACGCGATCCCGATGATGGTTTTAAGTTCACCTTGTCGATTTTTTTTGTTGTGGTCATTCATAAAACATGTGGGTTAACTAAGCCGAGAAAATAGTATTGCATCCATTTGCACAACTCGGATTATATTGTTACCTTGTATTATGCTCCTTTCCAATCAGATCCTCTATCCCACTTGTTCGTTTGTTTTGATATACTACGCGACGAGGGGTCGCTTGGTCTTGCCTCTCATTGGTAGTGTCCTGAATAGTAAATGGTGGTCCTAGAGATAGACAAGGAGTGAATTGACTCTTTCGAATCACAATAGCGGGTTGGTGTTTCAATACTGATAAGATACTCTGTTTCTCGATTACGAAATGTCCTTATTCTTTTTTTCGTGGCACCTATCATTTAAGCTATCACGTTCACGACGCATTGTTTTTAATATATATCGTACTCGACTGCAACAGCCGGGAGTAATCAGAGGCGACAAACACATACCTAAGAATCTGCATCTGATACCATCCGCCGGAGAGCGTCAGAAGCATGGACAGTTTCCGGCGAAAGAGCTGATGAATATAAAATCGTCTTTATTCGATGCATTGGAGAATGGCTTAGACAATAAGTGGATAGTGTTGATGGATACAGATGGCGACAGGTAGGTATATTGTTCATGTACGCACCAACTTCACATACAAGGGTTTGGGTGTCCGAAGCTTGCTCGGCAAAATACAAGGTGTCTTGATGAAGTGCCCGGACTATTCTGCGTGGTCTACAATCACCTGAGTTGTATAGTAGACTTTTTACAGTGTCGGTTATTTTGTCAACCACATGCAATGAGTGTTTCTAACGCCGCATGTGTCATGGTGTTCTGTTCACAAACACCCCAGATAGTTCTTGCTCGCTTATTCTACATGCGGACGTAACAATGCCATGACTACCACTTTGTACATTAGATTGGATTGTGAGAATGCAGCCATGCATACCTCTTTGTATACTGGGTTGGGCTATTAGATAGCGAAACCTGATTTTCTATTGTTTCCTGCAACGGCATTCGTCCTCTATGGTTCTTTGAGATTTGCGTGCCCCTGTAGACGTACCCTCGTCGCGTTTTAATTTGTACCCTAAATTTGAGTACATAACACTGTCTAGATTATTTTTTGACGTCCCAGATCCTTCAGTGAATACTCGCTAATCGCTTTTGCGATCGCACGGCACGTGGTGATCCCGCTTGAGGCTGATCCCTTCGATTTCAAGCGTGTGAGAACATTGATTTCCGAGATTAATTCTATGCAAGAAAACAGGCAATCCAACTCCAAGGTATTAATTAAGACTGGCGCATCTACACGGAAGTGGAGTCTATCGATGTTGTATTCGATATTTCAAATCGCACAGTATGCAAATGTTTTTATAGCATATTTGCTAGGGAATCGAGAACTGATACGATAGGATGTATCCGAGTGGCTATTTTCAATTTCATTGTGTTATGTGGAAATGATCATCGGCTAAAATTGAAAGCGCGCACATATTGACTTACATTGGCTGACTTTATACGTTTTATTTCAGCCCTAATTACTTGCTTTGGAGGTGTTCCGTATTATATACGCAACTGCCAACAATAATCTGTCGATTTGCCGGCCAATATACGTCACAAAGCTGCGTTACAGCGTGCAAGTGGGTTGACCGTGTGACACCTCTTGGGTTTACTGTTATCATCTCTGGCAGCCTTCCATACACCATATCATACTCATTATGTGAATGTGAACATCTTACACTCACACAGGTGAAACAAATAGTGTGGAACAAGGTGACACCTTATAGAGATGAAGCATCCGAAGTATCATCGCTTTACAAACCATCGACATTTGACATGGATATGATCCTGGCCCTCAATAAGTGTCTTCATACCATTGCTACTGACACGAAGGGTACTGGACTTTTCAGGTGTGTTTACTAGCGCTTGTCACTATTTTTTTGTGTTTGTAGGTCAATCGTTGTGTTATACTAGTGTTGGGTCCTGCTGGTGGAGAATTGTACTTAGGCTCACAGAGGTGCATCTAGTGCATATAGTTTGATCGATTTCGTTTCACAGATGTATTTTTAGTTTGAGATAGTAGCTAGGGATGCAGTTGGTATATCGAGATTCAAAATTTGTGCTGGTTTACTTTTGAGTCATCGCACGGGCATAGTAAAGTAAACACTGTAAATTGTATGCTTGTATGCTGACTTAGATGAAGAATCCCTGCAACTTGATCAGTAGAGCCCATGCCTCGCTTTGTGTGCTTGTGATCGCTCTGAGCGGAATCTAATTTGTAACATATATTTAACTTCGCCACAACAGTGCCGATGTATGTGGGGAGAATTTTACGCGTGACATATCTACGTGCGTACGGACTTTTGGGATGTCCGGTGGTCTTGCTGGATATTTTGGGATACCCTTCTGTACAGACGTGGTCGTAGCGGAATGGCCCAAGCTCGAATTGGAAGGAGTCAAATTACCGAGCGCAAATGCTAAGCAGGTGAGTATGTTCGATTACATTTTGTTCCTCTTGTTCTAAGGTACCTGTGATACACAGGCTTATAAACGTAATTATCCGTGACTGCTACACGGGATGGATGTGCGCTCACCATCATTTGCTTCTTGCTCGGTGTTTTGCCTTCGCGTCTGCTAATCATCAATTCCTCTCGTCTCTTTACGTCGCAGATTTCCAAGATGAAGGCGAATATTGAGCTATTTGCACAGCGTATCTTGTCACAGGACACAGAATCGCTGGCTTATCAATAAAAATGTATTCATTCCCATTCTTCGGCGCTACCTGAGCTAAAGGTTTCGGTTCAGAGGAACGTACCCTTCGCTTCGGGATGATAGCTGAAATTCTAAACCTGACGCTTAATAATGATGAAAGATGGTATCATCACACTGGAGAAATGTTTGTATGTTTTAATTAAATGTATGTGGAATTACCCATGCCATATAGATATAACACCGAGATAGTCGGTATAAAATTATGTATTTATTTATTTCTAAAGGACTTAGTACTTTATAATCCACCAAAGCAAGACGAAAGCGTAATATATTGTTATTGTGATCTATGGGTTGTTTCCATACGCTTTATTCGCATAATGATACACACATGATTTGTAACCATCTTAGGCACTAGAACGGACAGGGTTTGATATTCTGGGGCTTTGATCGAGTAGCCCTGGCTGGCTTGGGTTTGAAAGTCAACTAGCTGTGGACTTCTACATTTTACCACTATAACAGCTAGATTGAATGATTGTGACCAACCGTATTGAATACGAATTCGTCAAAAATTTAAATTTGAAACAATTGACTATGCATAAGGGAGATTTCCGGACACAACAAGTTAGATATGTGCTGATGGTTGTCAACCCTTCCAACCTTCCTCAGCCCTTGTTATTCTCAGCATAGTCCCTCCCCCCCCCAACCATCCCCCCCCCCCCTCCTGTAAAATTTGGAAGGATTAAGCAACATGTCGCAACATGTCGCACTATGTTCAAAGAATGCTTCCATTTTATCGCCTCGCTAGAGTTAAGTTATAGTTTATAAGGCAGTGCTATATACTGAGTCCTTGCCCATGGTGAGTGTATTATAGTAGACGATATGACGGCAGCCTATAACGGTCTAATATGAATCACTTTATTCATACCTCTGTCGTGACATCGAAAGAGAATGCTTACAATCCATATAAGATAATACTCACCTTTCCCAGGTCTGTCTGATATTTTTCTTGGGTTGAGGGTCTACAATTTTCTTCCTCTCGTCAGCATATTGCCCTTTTCTTGTGCAGACCTCAGGATTGGCGAGTCGAACAGCATAGTGACGAGGGAAAAATCGCTACTAGCAGTTCACTCGATACTCGTGCAGTACAAATAATAATGGCTAATTGGAAAACTACTTCTACAACAAACACACACAACCAACGCCAAGAAAATGATAGACAGGCGAATATAGAAAACGATGGAATATATCAAAGCCACTCAATAGTCAGATGCATTGTCTCTGCCCACAGAACACTCCAAAAGTAGCAGATGAATATATGCAGTGTAGTGCCTGCCATTTGATTTATGCTTACATAAGGTGAGAACTTACACGCCTGAGTCGCCCAGTAGGTGATCTATCTGTTAAATTTACTGATATCGGAATACGCAATATCAAAACGCCAAATCGATACACGCTATGTAGTTAGTGATGAGTATGCGACGATTCGACATATCTATACTCCTTTACCTCGGAAAACGTGCCGCAGCTCGATATTTCGTAATTACAGCAACTGGTAATTGATTTGTCCATACCAATAAGCTCAAGCTCGTTAAAGCTGAGTTTCAAAGGAAGCAATATACTCAAGAGTTCGACATTTTTTTACTACTTGATGTATTCATGAATGTATCAATAGGGTACTCGGTGTCATACATATGGTCATAGCTGGATGCCAATGCCGCCAGCAATTGTTCATGGGACTAATATTAATATCCTGTATAAGTTTGCCGTTGTGGAACAGATGGTGCCCGCTTTGAAGACTGCCTGAAAAAAAACTGAATTCAGTATGAATTGCAACCAAGACGTGTTCCAAGATCTTGAGTTTGAGCTCGAACTCTCAGATATTAGGGCTATGATTCAAGTATCTGCAGTCACCTATTCGACATTATGTAGTTTATACTTTAAATTTGTTTGTTTATATTCACACGCGAAATGCAAAGACACCCCCAATTACATGTCCAAATTGCACGCGACACGCAACAAAAAAGATTACAGCTGCACACCGGTTTTCGTGACGCACGCGATACGCAATAGCCACAGAATTTTTGTCGTCGATTTGCACGCGACACGCAACAATTCCTAAAAGGTTACAGCTGCGTGCTGATTTTTGTGGCCCATTTGCACGCGACATGCAAAAAAACTCACAAAATTATAACATTATAATTATGCTCGCGACACGCAACATTTTTTTGAAAAGTCACAACTGTATACGCTGAAATCCGTGCAATATGTGCACGCGACATGCAACATTTCTTGAAAACATACAAATTGTACAAAAGCGATTCTAATGCCCGATTTACAAATGAACGCCGATTTTCAGGTCCGATGTGTAAGCGACACTCATCGATTCTTGAAAATTTACACCTGTGTGTATAAACCAATTTTCTTGCCCAATTTGCACGTGAAACGGGAACAATTCTCAAAAAAAAATACGCTGTACACAACAATTTTCTTTACCGATGTTCACGCGACACGCAACAAATCATAATAAAAAATTTGCTGTACACTGTTTTCATGTCAGCCGTTTACGTAAATATCCGGCATATCTTTGCAGTTATCAGTGTGCCATCCATTGGTACCTTTGCAAGTAAAGCACTCTTTATATAGTCCGAAGATCGACTTACCTGGAGCACACTTTTCAAGGTCGTGCTTAAGATTCCGTTTGCAGTTTCGTTTAGCGAGGTTGTAGCCACACTTCTTGTAAGGTGCTCGCAGCTTCTTCTCATTACTAAGATTTAAAGTAGGAGAGTAGGCGAAGGAGTACTACCCATATTGTTAGTCCGAGGCTTCTTAGTGTTGTGCGAAAAAATAGGCTCAATCGCGTCAAGCTTAGCGGGCCGGATAAAGCCTGTAGTACTCAAGACTAGCAATTGCGTTAGTATATTTTTTAACGTAATTTTTCAAAAACGGACAATGGCACGTCACCGTATGAAAGTGCCATGTCATCGTTCAATTCTCTTCTTAAAAAGGTTCGTCGCCCTCTTAGTCTCCATCATCTGGCATATCAACAGATATTCACCAGTGTAAGTATAACATCTCATCTTACGGATCATATGCGTCATATGAGCAGGAGCATCTCATATGGTATTTTCGTTAGCGAATGGTTTACGCGACTTAAGAAGTTCACGATCACGTGCATCTTCAAAGGAAACACTCATATTATTTTTACGTAACTGGTTTCCGGGCAAAGTCTTCCAAATAGGCTTGTGAGCTTTTGGTATGGTGCGCCGTTCAATAGGCTCACAGAAGTGGATGAAAGTATTCATTTTTTGCTTATCATTAAGGTTGGCAGATTCCTTAAACTTCGCATCAAGATTGGAAGCAAAGAACTCGGAGCAAATACAATCACCTATCGAGTGGTAGTACTTCGCAACAATACATATTTCATGAGACCAATGCCAAAAAGTGAAATTACTAGACTAGTCATTTAGGTTATCAACCTTCCCGAGACAACGGGGCATGAAAATCTTATTAAATGCTCAAGACGTCGATACGTAACTCTCTGGGGGGGGAGGGGAATAGGCTGCACGTGTCGGGATTCACGCACGGTGGTTTTTTCTAAGGCAGGTGTGAAGTGCACGCGTGACGCACTACATGATGTCTTGGACGAAGTTGGACGTGCCACTGGGCGAGCTGTACTGGATTTCCTATGTAGAAGAAGAAAGACTCAGCGCTTCGCTTATCGCAGAGTATGCAAATAGTGCGGACAACTCTCTCGTAATTTTGAACGCTGAGCTTTTCCCTTACATGCGCAAGGAGATGCAGGATCGCTTCTCAGCGTAAGTTTATTATTTAATGATCATGCAGTGGATAATTCTTATTCAGGTGGAAGTATCCAATACATTTACGTGAAGCACCGTGGTTTGTGTTTGGATTGGTTTCTTGCAATGATAATGCTTCGAGTTCCTTCTTGTTAGCCTTCAGTATCTTCACCATTAAAAAGTATTCGTAAAATGAGACTGCCTCAAATTGATGAGATCGAAATCGGTAATGATCAATTTGGCTTGCTGGTATCTTTTTAGCAACCCATTCCTCTACCCCGTCATCGTTCCTCTCCAAGTATAGCATTTCGTAGAACCGTGTGCCAGGTGCTGGTAGTAAATCAAAATCTGTTTAATGTAAATCTTCATTGTCGTCCGTGTTTTGATTGATTCCATATTTACTTCGCGAACCGTTGTCGGTATCCGAATCCGTATCGAGGTCTATATCTTGCTCTATAATTATTGAAGCCACGCAAAGTACCTCTCATATACAACGATTTCTAAGTATAATGATTTCAAATCGAGCACCAAATTTTTGTTATTGAACGATTACGGAATGTCCGATTGTTGAAAGCGCAGAGCTCTCCATCGCATGTTATCCCATAAGTAGGTTGAATTTTTTTGTATGCAACAAGCCGATCGATCTTCGCGATCTGCTGCCGGGCAAGGATACAATCATGTTCATGAATTTTGCCAAGCCAAAATATACAACAAACACTCTACTCCAAATTTACAGAATTGAAAGTGCTTCGCACTGATGAAAATTTAGAGAAGAAAATCCGGCAGTACCCCTACATCTAATCTATAGCTCGAAAGCCACCATCGACCACCCTCTTGACAGATCTAACCATGTCAGAGGCTATGCTCGTATGGAACACGATGAGGCTTCCAACCTCATAATAGGGTGCTTTGCACTCATGGAAATTTTGAAAAGAGAAGCGGGTAGTACCCCTACATTTAATCTCTATAGCTCGAAAGCTACCATCGACCATCCCTTTGACAGATCTAACCCTGTCAGAGGCTATGATCGTATGGAACTCGATGAAACTTACCAACCTCGTAACATCGACCCTCGTTATTTATCTAACCCTGGTCATCACGACTTTGGCAATCACTACACCAGTAGCTCACTAGAAAGTCCCCGCTCTAGTTCTGAGGCTGAGGTAGTAAGAACCAGACTCAGACTATTACGCTCTGGTATGCAAATCCTAGAGGACCGTCTATTGAATGACCCTTGTAATGACGATCAGAAAGCGTAATACATTCGCTATCTAATCGATAGCAAGAGAAAGGTGGCTCTAGCAGCCCGTAACACTGAGCGTGAGCCTCGTGAACGCTTTGAACCAAGCTTTGTAAAGCAGCTAGGTAACGCGAAGGCTGAGGTCGATTTTTCAACTAGTGAGAGTACAATGGATACACTGAAAACCTTTGACCAACTTAAGGAGTCTGCCAGACTTAAGGATAAACAGATGATGAATGCTTTTACTCATTTCTGTGAGTCAGATGAATGGCGAACTGTCTTGAAGGCCTATGAGCCCAACTGGAAAGCCCTACCCTGGCACCAGTTGCGTGATAATATACTTAACGCCTTCCTTAAAGATGCACGTGACCGTGAACTTCTAAAGTCTCGCAGGTCCTTTGCGAACGATGCTACTATTCGAGGTGCTCTAGCTCATTTGACCCATATGAACACTTGTATGGGAGGTCGTACCTACACTGGCGAATATTTATTAATTTGTCAGATGATGGAGACTCTGGGAGCTAACCTTTTTAAAAAGGTCATTGATGACATCCGCGCCTATGGTGATTTGCGATTTATGCCTTGGTCTGTCTTTGAGAAGATAGTTCAAAAGCATACCAACATCTCTACTAGAGTACTTAGATACACGACCTACACCCAGCCCACTAAGCGTAATGCGGTAGAGACTAATACTGCGCGTAGTACTAAGAAACCTCAGACTAATACTGAAGGTGGTACAGGCTCTACTTCTACTAAATCGAAGGGTGAAAAGAAGGTGAGAGCGCCTTGCAAGAAGTGTGGTGACAACCTCACTAAACGGAATGGCAAGTGGAATGGTAGAGACGACCCTGTTAAGTGTGCACCAGGCAAGCCAGACTTTGGACACTATATGAAAAGTGTACTACTTGAAAGGGTACTGACGGTTGGCACAAAGAGGATTGCAAGGACTTACCGGACGTCCAAGTTACAGCACTGACAGTTCCATATGTGTGCACTAGAGCAAGATTATGAGGAAAAGTTCATTAAATTTTATACCAAAAAAGATGAACGTATATTTTAAACCGTTTACGTAAATGGAGAATTTGCTATAGCACTATTTGATCCAGGGGCTGAAGTCTCTGCTATCAAACGCCGAATAGCCTACGCTACAGATATGGCTATCCATAACGAAGCAACTAGTTTAATCTTTGGAAATGGCAAAGTTGCCACTTGCGAAGAAGCCATCGACTATGCACAAATAATGTTGTCAGATAGAAGAGAAATATAGGCTCACCTAATCGTTACTGAAATGTCTTAAAAATACGATTTAATTATAGGTATGACTGATCTTCTCAGTTTAGGTATAACACTTACTGGTCTGCCTAATGGGTTAAACCCGAATAAAGATCAGTCAGATGATAATATGTTAAAATACCTAAACCTCCGAAAAGTGAAACCAAGGATATGATTCCGCACTTTACCGATATAATTATGGACTTAATTATACAAAACAGGAAGATTGCAAAAACTGACTGGTGTATGTTTAAGATCTCTAACGGGTACATTAAATTTGACTTAACAAACGTCGACTTCTCTAAGTCAAAGTGTCCTTCACATAAGTCAAAGGATCAAGACCCAAATTAAAGATTGGTTAAAACAGGGTCCAATTGAAATCAATTATGATGTAACCCCAGTTAACTTAGCTCTATAAGCGGTCAATCAATATAAGTCTGATGGAACGTTTCGTAAATCAAGAGTTGTACTAGACCTATCGCCAATCAACAAACTAATTCCACAACATAGTTTTCCCTTACCTATGATAAGCGAGATATTACGCAACATGGAAGGTGCGACTATCGTTTCCAAGATAGACTTAAAAAGCTTCATTCCATCAATTACAGATATATGAGCGTCATAGGAAATATTTTTCCCTTACTTGGCACATAGCCTTCTGAAAATTAAACTAGCCAAACATCCTCAAAAGCAATAGCAAGATTTGGTGCCAAACAAGTTTTAAAAGCAAAAAAAAACACCTGCTTTTATACTAACTTTTGTGTGTCATCTCAATCAATCCCACTTGTGTACGATAAGAGATAGTTTATAGCTTGCTTTAATTCCTATATTCACGTATCTCTCAACGCTGATAATAGTGCGTCATGTTCTTGACGGGCAATGAGATTAAGTAGCGTCCTACCAATACGCTTCACTATATCCACCTTGCTTCCTAAGGTAAGATCAAGCTGATGGCAAAATTTTGTTGCATCGTCGATCTTAAGTGCCAACACTGATCCTAGTTGCACCGCCTGTAGATGCGTCAACAATAGACAACGTTCCTGTAATACATCTAGGCTACCCCCTAGTGGAGCACCGAAACTTCGTAAAATATCCTTGCACATATCGGTGGTCCACTTTCCTGAGTTATCGTGGGTATATGTAGTGCCTTCTGTGCCACGTAACTTTGTAGGTCGACCTTTCTTTGAGTTGGACTTAACCATACTAAGTGTGATCATCGTAGCTGCACATTGTCGATTGAGAAGTAGTGACATACTATTGCAGGCTATACTATAAAGTGTGTTCAACATTGGTCCGATATACTTAGCTGCCCGTTTGCACCACATTCATTGCATGCTTCTCGCAATGGCATCAGCATCTGAATCGAACTGATGCGCTGACGCATAATCGTTTTGATTAAACTGACGTAACATTAGCTTATCACTAACGATTACGTCGAGGCCACGTCGGTCCCTTACGATCAAGTTCCACTACAAGACTGTTCGAAAATTCAACATACATCTGCTCGTCTTTATCCAGCCCTCTGCCTTTAATCACCAACTCTATGCATGTGTTGCAGCTTACTGTCGAATTCCTTGTCCATTTACACGCAGCATAACCCGCGATGTACGGCATAGTCACGTTAGCTAAAGACTTTTGCGCTAATTGTGGGCCGTAGTGAAGGAGTGACTTCCAAAGGTATGAAAGTCTCACGACGCGTTGACTCTCAAGTGCTTCAGTCTTTTTTTTCAGTCCCTCGAATATTTGCGCATATAATTCACGATTATGGCTATGATCTATGTTTGAACATATCTCGTACATAGCACGAATCAATATGGTTCGTTGCGCATACAATTATGCGCAAATATCGAGATGCCTATTTCCTCCCGCCATTGCACGAGCTATACTGAAGATCATTTCTATCGGGTCGTTATCAAGACGTCCTGGTAGTACATATTTAAACCTTAGTACAATTAATGAGTAGCGTATACAAGCAGCCATAGTGCGTAAAGTGTGCGATAAAGTAAAGAAAGTCTCTTGTGTCAGACCGTCTTTCAGTGGTTTTCGCCCCCGTCTTTCCACACGTTCAGGTACTGTGCTAGGTGTACTTAGATTACTGTTTTCGGCAAAAACAGGTGGAGTTGGAGTATTACCTGAAGGCGAAGTACTACTTGCTGTTGTGAGTCATATTCGTACAGAGCTAATAGGAGTACTTTGCAATCCTGCAACACTAGTATTAAATGTATTCACCTCGTTATCATGAATACTTACTATTATCCCCACATCGACATTCCCAGTAGGCTCTCTACTTTCGATGTTAGTTGTGGTATTGTCACCAGTTAGTTCACCTAGAATGCCAATCACAAACATTAGTGTTTTCGAGATTCATATATATTCATACACAATAGAGCCTTCTACTAATAGCACATAATTAAAGTATATTAAATCACATAGAACTGAGAAATTGTAATACCTCCATATCATCTTCATCGTCTACGTCATCATCCTCATCATCAGCTATAATGATGATAGTTGGATCCGCACTGGCTAGCCCAGCATACCAAGAGTCTTGCAACCAAGTTGCAATCTCTTCTGCTTCCCGTAAGCGTGGGTCTTCCGGATCTCTGAAGGGGTCAGCACGAGGTAAGCGCTTACGATTTCCTTTAGTTGTACTAACAGTTAGGTAAGGCTGGATATTGAACATGTTTATCATCTCAATGAATAAATATGTTCCTGACGCACTCGTTCCGAACTCTCGTCTCAGTCCCATCGATATTTCTGTAGAAAACAGTAGTAGCGCGGGCGCCACTTGTTGTCTCTCGAGGTTGCTTGGCCACACGGTCACTCGATTTATACGCATAGGCGAGAATAGCTTGGATTTGTATTTTTGATATAGTCTACGTACCCATGCAATATCGCAAACGCCGGCAAGTAGTATATATCCAGCAGATAGTTTTATCTCTGGGTATCTGAAGATATGTCCCTTACGTACTAAATTGTTCCTGATGCACTTAACGATGTTATCAAACAAAAGAAAGAAAATAGCCTCAACCCATTCCTCATCACAGACGTTGGTAACTTTTGCTGGGGCAGCGCTAAACGTCGCCCTGGAGGTTCCGGGTTCGTGTCTTTCAGTACTAATCACCTCGTTGCTTTCCTGTTTACACTGCATCCATCGAAAATAATAGGACAACCGATTGCACCCGCTTCTTGGCTCTTTGTAAAAGCTTCTTCAGTGTACGTCAACAATTCCTGGCCAGTCATTTTGGAAACTGGTCTTGCCATTAAGTTAAGTGATCCTTTTTTGCCCGTTAATGGTGTCATTAAATATACTTGCATACTATCGGGGTTATTATAAGCTGGTCCAAAGAAACCAGTCTTATTTGTGGATAGGTTGGTGGGACGTATGTTTACTTCATCTAGATGAAGTGCATACACTGTACTACGAGTGTATGCTATTTTGCTCAATTCTTTATCCGGGTAGTTCTGTGCAGATTTACTCGCTTTCATATGCACTATACTGGACATCACTGCAGCGTGGGCAGAACCTGCGCCTGCAAAATCTGCGGGTAAGGCATCACTGTTGGACTGGGAGAAAACTGTACTTACGTTTGGGAGAAAGATGAAATGCGAATTCTCTCGAAGCCTTTTGTAATTCCCTGATGAGCGTGTGTGCAGTTGCTGCGCATATGCTAGTACGAAAGAGTTTTTAAGGAACCTTCTTCTACATCGATTCGACTCAAGCATTTCTATTTGCTCGGCGAGGAAGTAATAAAATACGTATCGCTCTTTGTCGGTCGCATTGTTGTATAATAGATGATCACCTCGCTCTCGTAGAATTGTACATACAAACTTTGCAGTCTGAACCGCTTCACCACTCGGTATTAAATCATCTGTAGTATCTTCAATAAAACGTATTCTCTTTACAATGGTCTCGTATGTACAGACTGACTCCAGTTGCATCTCCGTATAAGTTACCCAGCTAACATAGCTCTCTTTCTTGCTGTGACTCATTTCTTTCAGTGACGTATGTGATGGTGTGTATACATATAAGTCTACAAATTCACCTATGCTTCCA